CTGCATTGGCAAGGAAGATTAATTTAAAGCCATTGGTTCCTCTGCCAAAGAAGAACAACTGATTGTGAACAATAACTTCAATGAGTAGATGTATTTAGGCACTTTTAGTATTGTTATTGTGCATTAGACAGTAGTTAGTGTTAGTTGAATAAAAATATTACTGCAAGAGTTTGTAGCATTATGGCTTTATAATGGTTCATACTATAAAGTATAACCACCATAGACCATTGCAATGGTTATAGTATGTACAGCCTTTGCAAGTAGTAATTTCTCATTTTCTGATACATATTGATGTTCTTATGCTGTGTAGAAAGTTTGAGTTGATTCCGACTTCAATTTTTCAAGTTATGGCTATTTAAGAAAATGCCCAAAATCTGAAAAATACCCAAGGCTATAGCCCATGGTTTTCCAAAAAATGGCTCTGAAATCACCCCCAATTTTTATTACATTTTCTGATACATATTGATGTACTTATGCTGTGTAGCAAGTTTGAGCTGATTCCAACTTCAATTTTCAAGTTACAGCCATTTTAAAAAAAATGCCAAAAAATTCTGAAAAATACCCAAGGCTATATAGCCCATGGTTTTTTCCAAAAAATGGCTCCAAAATCACCCCCAATTTTTATTACATTTTCTGATACATATTGATGCTCTTATGCTGTGTAGAAAGTTTGAGCTGATTCCAACTTCAATTTTTCAATTTACAGCCATTTTAAGAAAATGCCAAAATTCTAAAAAATACCCAAGGCTATAGCCCATGGTTTTTTCCAAAAAATGGCTCCGAAATTACCCCCAATTTTTATTACATTTTCTGATACATATTGATGTACTTATGCTGTGTAGCAAGTTTGAGCTGATTCTGACTTCAATTTTTCAATTTACAGCCATTTTAAGAAAATGCCAAAATTCTAAAAAATACCCAAGGCTATAGCCCATGGTTTTTTCCAAAAAATGGCTCCGAAATTACCCCCAACTTTTATTACATTTTCTGATACATATTGATGTACTTATGCTGTGTAGCAAGTTTGAGCTGATTCTGACTTCAATTTTTTGAGATACGGCCATTTTAAGAAAATGTCAAAATTCTGAAAAATACCCAAGGTTTTTTTCAAAAAATGGCTCCAAAATCATTGCAAATTTTTATTACATATTCTGATACATATTGATGCCCTTATGCTGTGTAGAAAGTTTAAGGTGATTTCGACTTCAATTTTTCAAGTTACGGCCATTTTTAAAAAACATCAAAATTCTGAAAAATACCCAAGGCTATGGCCCATGGTTTTTTCCAAAAAATGGCTCCAAAATCATCACAAATTTTATTAACTTTTCTGATACATATTAATGTACTTATGCTGTGTAGCAAGTTTGAGTTGATTCTGACTTCAATTTTTTAAGTTACGGCCATTTAAAAAAAACGCAAAAATTCTGAAAAGTACCCAAGGCTATAGCCCATGGTTCTTTCCAAAAAAGGCTCCGAAATCACCCCCCCATTTTTATTACATTTTCTGATACATATTGATGTTCTTATGTTCTGCAGAAAGTTTGAGCTGATTCTGACTTCAATTTTTAAAGTTACGGCCATTTTAAGAAAACGCCAAAATTCTGAAAAATACCCAAGGCTATAGCACATGGTTTTTTCGAAAAAATGGCTCCAAAATCACCCCCAATTTTTATTACATTTTCTGATACATATTGATGTACTTATGCTGTGTAGCAAGTTTGAGCTAATTCCGACTTCAATTTTTTGAGATACGGCCATTTTAAGAAAACATCAAAATTCTGAAAAATACCCAAGGCTATAACCCATGGTTTTTTTCAAAAAATGGCTCTGAAATCATTGCAAATTTTTATTACATTTTCTGATACATATTGATGTACTTATGCTGTGTAGCAAGTTTGAGCTAATTCCGACTTCAATTTTTTGAGATACGGCCATTTTAAGAAAACATCAAAATTTTGAAAAATACCCAAGGCTATAACCCATGGTTTTTTCCAAAAAATGGCTCTGAAATCATTGCAAATTTTTATTACATTTTCTGATACATATTGATGTACTTATGCTGTGTAGCAAGTTTGAGCTAATTCCGACTTCAATTTTTTGAGATACGGCCATTTTAAGAAAACATCAAAATTCTGAAAAATACCCAAGGCTATAACCCATGGTTTTTTCCAAAAAATGGCTCTGAAATCATTGCAAATTTTTATTACATTTTCTGATACATATTGATGTACTTATGCTGTGTAGCAAGTTTGAGCTAATTCCGACTTCAATTTTTTGAGATACGGCCATTTTAAGAAAACATCAAAATTCTGAAAAATACCCAAGGCTATAACCCATGGTTTTTTCCAAAAAATGGCTCTGAAATCATTGCAAATTTTTATTACATTTTCTGATACATATTGATGTACTTATGCTGTGTAAAATATACTGAAGCACAAGTCTACAGGATTAAGACAATGTTCATCATCGTTGCTCATCTCTCTATATCATAGTAGCCTAGTGAGGGGGAATCACAATTAACTGAGTAGTACTGTACTGTAGTACATTATATTACTATGCTTACAACCAGTCCGATGTTATCATAGTATCCACGGTTTCAATGTTATCATTAGGTTACTCACTGGTAGTCCACTGACAAGTCCCCTTTTACTATAACAGCCCTTGTTAGGTTGCTCTTCTTCCTTCCTCTTCCTCTCTCTCTCTCTCTCTCTCTCCCTTGACTCTGAACTACAAATGGCTAGTAGACTTGCTAAGACCAATTCTTCTGGAGATGATACTGTCACTAGATGGATATGGGTTGACTCACACAAGCAAGGCGATCTAATAAAAAGTCTGATTAAAAATAACTTGATTGAAGAGCAAGATATCAGCAATACCAAAACACTTGGCTATTTTAAGATTACAGCTAAAAGAGAGAACATGAAGAGAATACAAGATGCTATTACAAAGTTTAATCAGAGCTCTCAAATTGAGCCACTTATTCCTAACCAGGACACTCCACCTAAGGCAAGACTGGCATCTGCTACTCCACTTGATGCTATACTTGATGATAACTGTAAGCACAAACCTGTTTCAATCTCACTGCTATTATTATTATAATACTTTTATAGCAATACCAACAGTTAATATTGAGTTGACCTATACTTATGGTTGCATTGATGATGAAAAAACCATGGCCTGTCATCTTGTTGAAAGACTAAAAGCAATATCAGTTAAGTATTTATCACAATCAGTTTTATTTCATTCTTGCACTATAGCTTTATCAAAACCAACTACCGAACCTTGAGTGTAACGTCCAATTCATTCAAAAACCTCGTGAATTCGTCTTCAAGCCTGATCTCCAAGCTGATATAAAGCCTACCATTACAGTTTCTGCATGTTGTACTAATTTTGGTGACTCTCAGCCTGAAAACAACAATGTTGTTGTAGGAGATGTATATGACATATTGGCCAATTTGTTCCAGGAATAGTACGTTTAGTACAATATAAACATGAATTTATAGTTTGATATTATTTCTTGTAGTGTCATAAAAAAGGCCCAAGACAAAGCCAAATTGTAGTAGTAACAATAATTATAATAATAACAGTAAAAAAATAGTAAGAACACATAATAATAATAACAATAATAAAAATAATACATGTTAAGTTACACATAAACCTAGAGGTAGTTTTAGCAATTCAGTGTATAATCATTCATGTGCAAGTTTTTTATTAATCATATTAACATACTTGAACTATCAATAGTTTACCATACCACCCAAAAGTGTCAAACTGCTTGATTAAGACTACCTGATTCTTCATTACTTCTATTTCTGGTCTGTCTTGGTTTCTTAGCATTCCTACTCACAGATATACATGAACATACTAAGCAGCTCAACCCACACACAACCAGTAATAAGAATAAAACACCACCTGGCACTATACCTGCTGCTAAATACTGATTTTTATAGTCTTTATCGCAAAGTGGATATACTGTTAGATTCACTTCTCCACGAAAGCTACTGCTAGAAGTACCAAATATGTACCATCTATCATCAATGGAGTCATCACCGTCAGCATTGTTAGTACATTCCTGATCACTGATGATAATGGGAGGACATGATGGGCTCAGAATGCAAGAGCTTTCCTGATCATGTATCAAATACTCTGAAATATATCCTGAAATATTGACGGTTAAATCGACATTCATTATGTGAGAAATGACAAAGAATGAGAATGCATCTCTCTTCATGTTTAAGGAGAAATTATAAGTACCAGATTCATTAAGACACGGCGTAAAGTTGTAGGCATTCTGAGGTATATCACTTGGCAGTTTATACGGTCTAGCATGAATATAGTTAATGAAATCATCATGAGAGCTGAAAGTAGCCATTCTTACTGCACAATCACCTCCGTTGCTGTTTGTCAAATTAAAGGAAAAGTTCACAACACCTGTTCCATTAGCATTATAGAGTGGACTGGATACATCATAATATCTCAGGAATATGGGACGCTCGTCAGTAAACGTAAAAGCATGATTCACATGCTGCAATTCTTTGGATGACACGTTAAATCCGTTTTCTTGTATTTGGTATATCACTGTTCCGTTAGCATAAAAGCCATTGGCATTCTGGAGTGCTTCGATCTGTAATTTTTTGACAACATTAGACCTGTAGACTTCACCAATTTTGACAACCGTCCTAACTCCAACGGAATGATTTTGGCTGTATGTATCATTGATTGTCACGTGTGGGTAGTTAGGAAGGGTCAAGAGTATTAAGATGGGGATAAAGGTAACTATAGCAACAATACTGAGACAGAATGACAAACAACAAGTTCTTTTGCAACCTAAACAACAACAGGTAGAGGATAAGTAATCATTAAACAATTAATGGTTAGTGTGTGTGTACATGTACATTGTTACACATACACTGTATGATCTCATTGTTAGTGTATGCCCCTATTAGTATGTTCACATTCCATGATTTGTATTACATGTAATTTGGTTTTGTTTTTGTGCATGTTTTTTGACCGTCATAAATCACTTTATTAATTATTTTTTGTTTTATTATCATTACTTACGTATCTCCCAGTGAGTAGGTACTTGAATATTATGACGCTTCTGATAGTTGACAATCTCTTTTGGATATTTAAGACCACACTCCCTAAACCACTTCAAGACGTTATTCAAGCTTTCTTCATGAGCTCCAAAAGATGACAGGGTGACGTGATTCCTGCGTCGCTGTATCCTGTCAAAACTTTAAGTCTGAGATGATTTTTCAATACTTTGTAATCACTGTCGCTCATCGATGTCATGGCAACGGTTAGTGTCAGCCACAGGTCGAAATTTGGATACTTTTTATAAATTGCTTCTTTATCAGACTTTTTCATGATTGGGAGTCTTCTTAATATATTGGTCTTAATATGTTCATCCCTTGTACTGTAACGTAGTCTACTCAGGATAAGACGCAAAAGTGATGGAGCATCATTGAATTGTTGAGAGAGGACGTTGTAGAGAACATTAAATATGAGCTTTCCCCATTGATCCTTTGCATCCGTGACCTGCTCCTTATTGATACCCAGGCCAAATTCACACACATACTCGATACACAGCAACTGTTTATTGGTAAGACTATTGTTTAAGAGATCCAGTCGGTCTGGGACTGGAGATATAAGAGCACTTTCGTCTATACTTTTCTCATCCATTTGCACCAATTTCTGACCAATAGATTCTATTTTTGCCAATGCACTCATTGCTGACTGTGAAGGCAGGGAAAGGGAGGAGTTGTGAACCTCCTCTTCCTGGATCCATTATAAAAGCTGCACTATGTCTTTTTCTCTCTCTTGTTGTTTCTCATCAATAGACTCTCTCCTAACACAAGATGAGCTCCATTGTCTCAAGTTAGTTGCTGTCCACGGGTTAGACCTGCAGTCAGCTGCTACTGCTTCTTCACATCAATCTACACCTCGCTGGAGAAGAACCATCCTAGCACTGCTCCAGCCATTGCTCTGTCTCTACTATGCAGACTAGGCCTGCCTAAAAGTGTCTTCTGTTCAAGTTAAGAGAGAAGTCCCAGCGCCTCCCTACAGATATACTGCTTTCATCCTTTCCAATGGCAGATCTCATACTAACATTGTCTACTACATCATGGCTGACATGAGAGAAAAAGAAATTGAATCTATTTAGGAGGATAGCTGTCGTGTCCTTCTTTCCACAACATGATCAGTCTTCTACACTCACTCCTGCTAAGCTCCACGTTGCTTTGATGCTACAACATGTAGTCTTTAATTTGCAGCGATTCGATTCATACTTGCATGGTTACAAGGTTCAAGAGCTTTGCTTCACATGATCCAGTACTTGAGACGCCATTGCCATTAATACAGCCTACAAGCAGTAGAGATAATTTCTTATATTTTCTGACACATTGATGTCCTTGTGCTGTGTAGAAAGTTTGAGTCAATTCCGAGCTCCAAATTTTAAGTCACGACCATTTTAAGAAAACCCAAAAATTCAAAATACCCAAGGCTATAGATCTAGTCCATGTTTTTTTCCCAAAAAATGGCTCCGAAACCACTCCAAATTTTTATTTAAAATTTGGAGTGATTTCGTAAGTTTTTTAAACATTACAGAGCCTAATAGAGTTAGACAGTATAGTCTTGGTATATGGCTCATACTATACCACATAACCACGATACTACTGTAACCATTACCATGGCTAGTAGTTAACCAAAGACAAGTAGTAGAGTTTAAATTATACTTCTGGTAGGAGTTAACCCTTTGATCTTGATTTCAGCACTTTCAGTGTTATGATAAGATAAAGACATGTTCTCCTTTTCGCCCCTTATTTCTGTATCAGCTGGTATAGGGAGTAGAAGCTAGTTGCTAGTTCATAATGGCTGGAAAAGTGCAGAACATCAAAGATGGTGATGATGATGATGTGAGGAGGTGTCTATGGGTAGCTGAAGAAAAGGTTGATGATGTTAAAGAGGAAATAAGAAAGCACAAGTCTGTTCATATGACTGAGCCAAAAAAGTTAGAGTATTTTTGGTTGTCTGGTAAAAGGGAAGTGATTCGAAAGATCTGTCATGATTCTATAAAAGAGCCTATGTCTGCCACTCCTAGCGCTGGAAACAATAAAACTGGCTTAAGATGCTCAACAATGGATCCATTTGAAATACTATTAGAAAGTAAAGGTCATTGTTTGTAAGAAATATTTATATTTTAATATCATACAGGGAACTTGGGAATAACACTGAAGTGTCACTTCCCATTGGAGCCTGATGATGATACGTCTGCCAAAGTACAGCAAATAATTCAGAAGCTTTATGATATGCCAAACAGGGTATTTCCATTTCAGTGATGGTTGGTAGATCTATAGTTCTACATCTTCTGTAGGAATATGATGACCCTTCAATCATGTACAACATTGAGATTATTGAAGTGACCCCTGCTTGGTCCTATACCATACAAGGAGGGGATGGAGGGCTAGATGATGATGTGGGTCAGTATGAAAAGCGTATTATTGATGTCACCATTGTTGACAAAGATTTCCGAGATTGCCATTTAGTTTGCCCAGAAGTCTTGGAAGCGGATATTATTACAGTATTGAATGAAGTCTGGAAGAATCAGTATGTAGCTCAAATTAAAGCTAAAACCTCATTTCAATGTTTCTTTTGTAGTATCATTAGGTCTAAGCACTAGATTCTACTATGGAACCAAGACAAGTGAACCTAATTTTAAAATTAATTTCTTTTGATAAAAATAGGCTGATAAACATTACATAATAAATGAAACATTAAAATTTAATATTAACAATAATTATTACACATCACATGATTTAATAAAAATGTTCCTATTAGCAATAATAATAATAAACAGCAACAATAAAATAAATGGCAGTTACTTAGCATGTACTTGTCCTTTGGTTACTCCTGTTATTCTCTTTCTTCTGTTACGACGCTGACGACAATAAGCAACAATAATGATAAATAAAACAAAGAAAATAATTAATGTTAAGCCGCAGAGAGGAAGAGAGGATATCCAGTACTTTTGAGGATAGACTCTCTTCGTTATAAATGTAGCGAACAGATTCACTTTCCCTTCAAATCCAATAGTAGTGTTACCAAAAAGACACAAGTTACCACGATTGTTCTTATATCTGCTCTTTTTGGGATTTATCACGATAGAGCAATATTTATTTGATGAAGTAAGATGGCACTCATCAACTCTGTATTTTGCTGCATTTGAATATGCTGATATATTTCCTGAAATGCTGACAGTAACTTCAGTTTGATTAACTACAGCAAGAACAAAATAGAGCAGAGAATCACGCGGCAATGTTATCGAGAATGAATGAGTTCCATTACTACCATTATAACAATCTGAACTGTATACGAAACGAGGTGGATCATCTCGAGGATCTCTAGCAACACGTGTGTAGCTAATGTAATCGGAGTCATTAGAAAAACCAAACAATCTCATTGCACAAGAGACCCTGTCAGGATTGCTATTTACCAAATCGATAAATAAATTAAGAGTCCCTCCACCACTTGCTGTATAAATAGGCTCGTGACAATCGAAATATGAAATGGAGATGGGAAGAGAGGAATGACCAGAATGGCATTTATTATAAATGTATGGTAAGACCAGGAGATGCGTGCTAATATGATCTTCAGGTATGGCGTATACAGTAGCGTAGTCCAGCGTCAAGGAACTGACATCAACTAAATCTGTAATTGAAGTATCGAAGCAGTCCAATTTAATGGTAGTGTTGACACCAATTGGGTAGGTCTGATTCTGTGGGTCTTTTACATTGACGTCAATGGATGGAATGAACCATAGGTTCAAAATAATAGCAATCATCAGGGAACAAAGGATCAATAAAACTACCACAATAAAGCAACAGGTACCTAAAAAGGTATTAAAGAAGGATTAAAACATGAGTTATACTAAATTAACTAACTTACAAGTTTCCAATTGCCTTGAAACCTTGATACGATGTCTCTTACAGTAGTCTCGTAGCTTCTGTTGGTAGCTTGAACAGCCAGACTCTTGTAGCCAATCAGAGACAATACTGATGTCTCCCTCTGCATGAAGTGGTTTCTTCTCTAAGAGACGACAAACAAGGTCACAGCGATGCTTAATATCTACATGGCCTAACAATACCCCACCATTTTGCTCAGTATGAAACCTCTTGAATTTATTGTAATCACTTTCACTCATTGATATTACTGTGGTTGCTAGCGTGAGGATAATGTCGATTTGCTTGTAAACATCGTCGTCGTTAGGTGACGCAGAGCAAGGAAGCCCATTCATGTTGCATCCTAGTCTCTCCAGCATAAAGTATAAAAGATCCTCGGGATTTGTGTGATTCTGTTTTATGCCTCTTTCAAAAAGTTCAGAAAACGATTCATTCAATAGTGACTGGATTTGTACTTCATTCATGTCTAAGGCAAAGCGACAACAAACAGCAATAGCTTGTATTTGGTCTTTGGAAAGACCTCCCGCTCCCTTTCCACCCAATGTCTTCACTAGCTCATTGATGCCGGGATTAGATCTAGCCTGTTGTGGGGTTTCATCTTCACTTTTACCTTCTGATGACAATTTGTGATACTTTGCACTATAATCACCTTGTGCCATTATAAAAGATTAGCTCGTCACATGATCTACGGGAAAACAATCTAAACCCAGCCCCCCGAAAGCTCTAGCTAGCTTTTGAGAAGTCGCAGGCTCAGCAAGACCGCTTGGCCATGTCTCCTTCTCTCTCTTGTTGTTTGTCATCAATAGACTCTCTCCTAACACAAGATGAGCTCCATTGTCTCAAGTTAGTTGCTGTCCACGGGTTAGGCCTGCAGGCAGCTGCTACTGCTACAAACTTTACATCAATCTACACCTCCCTGGAGAAGAACCATCCTAGCACTGCTCCAGCCATTGCTCTATCTCTACTGTGCAGGCTAGGCCTGCCAGAGTGTCATCTCTTTAAGTTAAGAGAGAAGTCCCAGCGCCTCCCTACAGATATACTGCTCTGATCCTTTCCAATGGCAGATCTCATACTAACATTGTACTACATCATGACTGATATGAGAGAAAAGGAATTTAATCTATTCAGGAGGATAGCTATGGTGTCTTTCTGTCCACAACAAGATCAGTCTTCTACACTCACTCCTGCTAATCTCATTAGTCTGATGCTTCAACACAGTGTCTTTAATTCACAACGATTCGATTTTCATACTTGCATGGTTACAAGGTGTGTAAAAAGTTTGAGTCGATTCCGAGCTCTAATTTTCAAGTTATGGCCATTTTTAAAAATGGGCCAATTGTTGAAAAATACCCAAGGCTATAGCTCATAGTTTATTCCAAAAATGGCTCCAAAATCACTGCAAATTTTTATTATGTGACATTTTCTAATACATATTGATGTCCTTATGCTGTGTAGCAAGTTTGAGCTGATTCTAACTTCAATTTTTTGAGTTACGGCCATTTTAAGAAATTGCCAAAATTCTAAAAAATACCTAAGGCTATAACTCATGTTTTTTCCAAAAATGGCTCCAAAATCACCCCAAATTTTTATTACATTTTCTGATACATATTGATGTCCTTATGCTGCTGTGTATATACTGAGGCACAGGATTAACACGATTAACACAATGTTCATGATTATTGCCCATCTCTCTGTCATAGTAGTCTAATGAGGGGAATCACTATGGTCACATCTGGTCTGGTGTTTAAATCATATATCCACTGATAAAACTAGTTTCAATGTTATTAAGTTACACAATAGTAGCTGACAGGCCCCCTTTTTTCTATAACAGCCCTTGTTAGGTTGCTCTTCTTCCTCTCTCTCTCTCTCTCCCTTGACTCTGAACTACAAATGGCTGGACTTGCTAAGACCAATGATGCTGGAGATGATTCTGTTACACAATGGCTGTGGGTTGACTCGAAACACAAAGATCATGTATTAAAACACTTGGTCTCAAAAAAGTTAATAGATGAGAAAGACACCCGCAATCCCCAAACACTTAGCTATTTTAAGGTTACGACTAAAAGAGAGAACGTGGAGAAAATACAAGATGCTATTAGAGACATGAGTACAGTTAGAGACATGAATACAGTTTGGTTTCCTCAAGGTATGTCATATCCAACTGAGGACTGCACCCCTAAGGCAAGGCTGGCATCTACTACTCCACTTGCTGCTAAACTTGATGATGACTCACGTAAGTACATATAACTTATACTGTAGCTGATTTCAATGTCACTTGTTATTATAGAACCAGCCACTGTTACTATTGAGTTGACCTACACATACGGATGTTTAGATGGGACTTCAATAGAACCAATTGTAGCTGAGCTGATTAAAAGACTGAAAACTAGATCTGTAAGAAAACCCACAGTTAATATTATTATTACTAAAACTTAATTGTAAATTAGGTTTATAAGAGTGAAGAGTTTGCCAAAGGTGTAGTGTACAAAGTGACAGTCAATGAAAGCCCAAGGGAATTCGTCTTCATGCCTGCTCTACAACACACACCACCTATCATTATTGTATCTGCAGATATAGAAGGCTTTTGCCCATCAAAGCCAGATGCTGAAAATGATGTATATGAGATAGACTCTACTGAATGACATCAAAGCAGAGAAAACAATACCCTGTCTGGACTCTTGGTATGTTTGATGCAACAGATCATGAGGTTTGAATTGATTTTATTTTTTTTATTCTATTAGTGAAATAGAGAAGAAGAGTTCAGAAGCAAAAGGTAAAGACAAGAAGTAAAAACATTAAAAAATAAGAAGATAAGCATAATATAAATACAAAGTAAAGAACAGTAAATAATAATAATGATAATAATAATAGTAATAACAATAACTATTATGCATGTAGCAATAATAATAATTTTACTTAATTTTAGTATTATTATATTTGAAAGAGAGTTGGAAACTGATCGACAGCATTAGTTAGTGCACTAAACCACTTGCATTTCTTTAGCTCTAAATATACATTTATATAAACACACTAAGCAGCTCACCCCAAACACGACAAGTAATAACGACGAGACGACACCTGGTATTACACCAGCTGCAAAGTACCAATAGTTATACTCTTGATGGCAGAGGTGATGTGCTGTTACCCTCACTTCTCCGAGATCACTACTTGTAGAAGTACCAAATACCGTTACATACGGTATTTCATCATCGGCAGAATCATCATCATCCCTGCTAGTAGTACATTTCTCTTCACTACTGATGGTAATGTTAGACTGGCAAGAAGGATTGAGAGTACAAGAGCTTTCCTTTTCGAGTATAACATACTCAGAAATATATCCAGAAGTGTTGACAGTCAAACTGATGTTCTTTACGTGTGCGATGGCAAAGAAGGAGAAAGCATCTTCCTTCAGAGGGACTGAGTGTATACCAGACGTATTGATACACCCTGAAGAGTGGTAGGCAGCAAGTGGTACATGACGTGGGTCCCGAGTAGACCCAGTATAGTTTGTAAAATCAACTTGAGAGCTAAAAACAACCAACCTTGCAGCGCAACTTGCTCTGTTAATATTCGTCAAATCAAAGGAGATATTGACCTTTCCTTCTCCAGCAGCATTGTAGAGTGAAACCGACTGGTTAAATGCTAGAAATACAGGTACCTCATCGCTCAGAGCTCCATAAGGCCGACTTTCAAAGTCTAACTCTTTAAAGGACACGTGAAACTCATTCTCTTGCACAGCATCTATCACTGTACCGTTAGCATAATTATAGCCCTTCATATCATTCAGAGCTTCAATCTGCAAATCTTTGATAGATTTTGAGCTGTAATTCCCAATTTTGACGGTTGCCTTACCACCAACAAAAGTATGGTTGTCGCTAACATCGTTTGTGACAAGAGGATAGTTAGGAATAGTTAGAAATAATAAGATGCAGATAAAGCCAGGAACAGTGAAAATGCTGAGACCAAAAGACGAATAACAAGTTCTTTTGTAACCTAAATAAAAACAGGTAGAGGATAAATAATTATTAAACAATTAAAGGTTAGTGTGTGTGTACATATACATTGTGACACTAACAATGTATGAACCCATTGTCAGTGTATGCCCATTATTAGTTTATACACATTCCACTTTTGTATTTTTTAACAATTAATTTTAGTTGTTTTATCATTAATTTGACATTATTTACACACTTACATATTTCCCAGTGTATAGGTACTCTAATACTATGACGTTTCTGATAGTCGACGATCTCTTTTGGATAGCTGAGACCACAGTCCCTAAACCACTTCAAGACCTTATTCAAACTGTCTGGCTTGAATGGGGATTGATCATCAATGAGCTTTAAAAGATGGCAGGGAGATGCAATCCTGTCTTGAGCAATATGAGTCAAAGTACGACGTCTGTGGTACTTTTCCAATTTTTGATAATCGCTTTTGCACAGAAGACTACTGTTGCTCATCGATGTCATTGCAGCGGCCAGTGTCAGCCACATGTCAAACTTTTGATATTCTTCTGTAGATCTACACAGCGCGTCTTTATCTGACTTCTTCATGACAGGGAGTAATATGTTAGTCTTAATGGCCTCATTCCTTGTACTGTAGCGTATTCTATCTAGGAAAAGACGCAAGAGCTTAAGAGCATCATCTTTCGGTAGTTTCTCGTAGAGAGACTGGAATATGATCTGTTCTTGGTCATCCCTAGTGTCCTTCATACCCAGCCCTCGCTCACAGACTAGCTCAAAGCACTCCAACTGTTTTTCAGTAAGACTATCGCCCAGCAGATGCAGATCATGCAGATGTTCTGGACCTGGTAGCAAAGGTTCTTCTCCCATAGCTCTACCTCTAAATATGAGCAGCTTTAGCTGGATCAGCTAGCCGAGCAGCTAGCTCAGCCATAGCCTAGCTTAGCTAGCTGAGCCTGAGTCAGTTGTCAGTCTGCACGTCACCTGATTGTCATGTCATGTGATCGTATTAATTTTAATTTGTAGTCTAGAAAAATAGCTGCTGCAAAGCTTGAAGATGTCTCTTTCTCTCTCTTGTTGTTTGTCATCAATAGACTCTCTCCTAACACAAGATGAGCTCCATTGTCTCAAGTTAGTTGCTGTCCACGGGTTAGACCTGGAGTCAGCTGCTACTGCTACAAACTTCACATCAATCTACACCTCACTGGAGAAGAACCATCCTAGCACTGCTCCAGCCATTGCTCTGTCTCTACTATGCAGACTAGGCCTGCCTGAGTGTCTTCTGTTCAAGTTAAGAGAGAAGTCCCAGCGCCTCCCTACAGATATACTGCTCTCATCCTTTCCAATGGCAGATCTCATACTAACACTGTACTACATCATGGCTGATATGAGAGAAAAGGAATTCAATCTATTCAGGAGGATAGCTGTGGTGTCTTTCTTTCCACAGCAAGATCAGTCTTCTACACTCACTCCTGCTAATCTCATTGCCCTGATGCTTCAACATGGCGTCTTTAATTTGCAACAATTCGATTTCATATTCGCATGGTTACAAGGTTCAGGAGCTTTGCTTCACATCCAGTACTTAAGACGCCATTGTCATTCTCGGAATGTGAAGGAACCAAAATGGAGGACACTTTTACCATCAGTTGGTAAGGGGCAGTTGCTATTCATTATTTCATTTTCAATGCCAATTTGGCAATAGTGACACAAATAGACACAATGACACATTAATTGATGCCTAGACAGAGTAGTGACCCTTATCTTCCTTCCTCCCTCCTCTCTCTCTCTCTTTTTCTCTCTCTCTCTCTCTCCCCCTCTCTCTCTTTCTCTCTCTCTCTCTCTCTAGTCCAACAGGTGCACCATTTAATGCAATATTGTGACGAGAACAAAGTGTTTGATGTTAATTTTGTTCCTCCTCCACCAACAGCAGGTAATTCAACAACCATACACTTGTTGTCATTAGGTTAAGCTAAATTCTAATGCCCCAGCACCCTATCATGCTAACAATAGTGTTTACATTAACTTCAGTGACCCAATGGGACAAACTACTGTTTATAGTTTACCCATTTCTGGGCCAGTTATCATAATTTACAATTTTTTGAGGTTTCTGTTTTGACCTCTGGTTTCATACACTATTGGATTTAGATGTACCTGTATTGTAATGATATTATGATATATGCTATCTTATTACATTTGTTATGAGGTTATATTATACTAAGAATTCTGTCTCTCTATCTTCTCCTCTGATCATATTTCTATGTTTTCAATTTACTACAGGAGAATATCGTTATCTTGGACTGCCTCCAAAATATAGCGATGTCATGAAAGACAGTGACAATAACAATAATAATAATAATAAAAGAAAAAGTAATAATAATAATAGTATCACAAGCTATAATTAGTAACATTGTGTCTCTATTTTTAGACTCATCTCAGTTAAGATGTATTGTCTGTATAATAATCTCTATAGTGCTCACTGTGTTCATCATAATGACACTCACTCTGTTCTATTTCATGACTAATTGCAGTCAAGTGAGCTACACAGGAGCCAATGCCACAGTCCTCATTGATAATCCTTGTAACCTGAAACTGCTGACGATTAGCAAAGGCAGTATTAATGAGGACTATTCTACAACACTGTACATGAGTACAGCTGAATCAATAGACTATAGAGCTGACTCATTACCAGCTAGAGTTCACTGGAGTATGGTTACACCAAATGACAGCATTGGTCTTAACTATTATGATGCTGATTATCCAGTCTATACAGCCAAAGAAGGTCTACTACAATATAATATAACAGTATCAAGTACTAATGATGATAAAGGAGAGTGTTCCTTACAGTTATATCTGTTTGATTCTTTTGATGGTTATGCTTCCTTCCTCTCCACTGGTTGTTATTCCAGTTCTATCTCAACTCACTGCATCACTGGAGGGTCAGCTCAAACTCATTCCGTTACATTCTCTCTCCCTTCTCGTGGCTTTTACTTTGTTGGTTTAAAGAGTCAATCAACAGCATCTCTCATTGTCAGTATTACGGGAACTCTAACCTCATTTAGTCTCACCCCACCATATTTGGACAAGTGCCAACTGGACGATGATCACGACCGATGTACACTAGACAGTACTGGTTCTACCAATGGCCGTCATTACGTGTTCGCCGAGTCTCGTAGCACTGCTGTACAGAGTGTCCTCTCATCACTGTCCTGTGGAAACCTGATATCACTCTGTATCATGATACCAGTGATTGGGCTAACCTTATTCAGTGTATTAACAGTTATAACAATGATACTATGCAAGAGGAAGGAGGAGAAGAAGGAGAAAGATTTGGGCCTTTCCATGAAAAAGAAAACAGTTGTAGTGTAGTTCATCACATTAAAACTATACATCATTAAACTCACATTATTCAGTTGTAGCATTCAAGCATCATATCATTCCTTCATTCATTCATTTCATTAGTCAGAGACTGTATATATTGACATAGAAAAGGTTTGGTAGTTTTAGTTTTATAAAAAAAACTTTAAAAAAAAATTATTATTAATTATTAAAAGTGGCGATACATTCGTCAAGCCATTGAATAGATTTCTTAAAATACTCAGTCACACAAACTGACTCTCTTCCTTCCTGTTCAATCTCTTCTTCATTAGTAATGTCACCATTAGCTGTAGGACAATCAGTAACACTTCCATCAATAATGGGGTCACTAGTCTTCATTGTAAGTTCAGTATCTTCAGGCTTGCTGTCTTCATTACTAACTGAATCTGTCTTTAAAGCTTCTTCTATAAACTGGAGCAGTTTGGAGCACTCTTCTCTTAAAAGGACGTATCTTCTGCATACGTCAAATTTTAGGACTTTGTGTAGTTTCCTGAGACACACAGGACAAAGGAAGAGTGGTTGAGTGATTGCCTCATCAATGGTGGAGCTTTCATTCATTGAACAGTTGAAATAGAAGCAATGAGTGAGACCAAACAAGTGACCAATTTCATGAGATATCACCTAAAGAAAAAAAGCATAATAAAGTTCACTTTCTAATACATTTCCTGATACATATACATGTACTTATGTTCTCGGGCAAATTTCGCCAAAAATGAAAATTTGAGAATTCTCCATTTTTATTACATTTCCTGATACATATACATGTTCTTATGTTGCGTAGAAAGTTTGAGCTGATTCCGATCAAATTTGGATTTTTTACGAGCTTTTAAAGTTTCTCCAAAATCAAGCCAAAGTCCCTGTACTATAGTACATGGTCTCGGGCCAAATTTTGCTAAAAATGAAAAGTAGAGAATTCTCCATTTTTATTACATTTCTTGATACATATACATGTACTTATGTTGCGTAGAAAGTTTGAGCTGGTTCCAATCAAATTTGGATTTTTTACGAATTTTTAAAGTTGCTCCAAAATCAGACAAAAGTCCCTGTACTATAGTACATGGTCTCGGGCCAAATTTTGCTAAAAATGAAAAGTAGAGAATTCTCCATTTTTATTACATTTTCTGATACATATACATGGTCTAACAACTTACTCTAATTAATACCCACATGTTGTTAATCTGTTTCTTTAAATCAGATGCAGCTGGACTCTCTCCATCTAGCTGAGAATTAAAATGGCGTCCAAAACTACAAACGGCCAGTCCATCAGAGAAGGAAGCCTGGCCTAAAGTAAAGTTCCAATAAGGACTTGGATAAAGATCTACAAGTGTAATCCCAACTAAACAAAATGATTTAATTTGAGATTGAGATTTCATGTACCTAAGAAAATAAATTAAAGAATTAATAATTAAGAATTTAGAATAATTAAAATCACCGTAAAACTAATAATAATAAATTAATTAATATTATTATTATATTATTACTTAGTCACGTCTCCTACTAGCAGCTGTTCTCTCTGCGTTGTTCGATGAACTCGTTTAGTAATCTTCTTCACTCCTGATAGTTCCAATGGAGGCTGATCAAGAACCACTTCCATTCCAGTGAAATAAACTGAACAGAAACCAGCCAGTGACTCCAGCAATACTGTCTCTACTTGAGCCATGGGGTAGTCTGGAGAGGTATACGCTAAAGGTTGAAGGACAATGAGTCTTCTTTTTGATCTTTTGGGGTGAGCGAATTTGTAAGAACCAAAAATAACTTTCCATCTTTGATAGTTCTGTCTGTCTAGTATTGTAGTACCAGGTCCTGGTACTAGTGGAGTAAAGAGAGAAGAGCCAGTCATGTCTAGCATCCATTGTACAGGAGGCTCTAGCCTGTCTCGTCTCCTTAGCTCTTTCCTGTGGAGAAGAATTGGAGCAAAATCAGCTCTTGTCACAGCCGCCATTTTATAGGTGTGGTCAGTTATAAAATAATAAACTTACCCACGTGGTACCACGTGTCTCTAAAATTTTTGTTAAAAAATAATTTAAAATTCTAATGTCTATACAATCACACATAATTCAGTCATTCTCAAAAATAAAATATATAAACTAATACTATCACATCATATACAGTTAGAGTCGTATGGCCCCTCCTCCTTCAAGCAGTCGTAGAGAGAGCAGCAACAGAAGAGACAGCAACAGAGCAAACAAGAAGAAACACAAATAAATAAGAGGAGACTAACAGCAACTCCAGCAAAGAACGTAAAGACACGATAATTGTAAAACAGACCAGGACTATCAACAAAGGCAATATATCCCTCTTCAATCTGAACTGATGAATTGGTAACGTATAAACACGTCCTTTCATCAGTGATACAGAATGGACTGCATGAGCTTGTAATGGTACAGTTGTTAGTAATAGAGAAACCAGAGCAGACTTGAGTGGAGTCACTAGGAGCCTCATAATTCACTGCACTGCCTGATACAGTAACTGATAATGTAGTGCAGTAGGTACTGGAATAATTGTAACCAACGAAATAGATACCATCATTATTGATATGAAAGATCAGCTCAGAAGATAAGAAATCGTTTAAAGTTTCAAAACAAAACGAGGAGTTGTCGATGAACGTAGCCGAACTAGAATCTGCCGGACTAGGATCTGAAAATTTGTTTATCTCTTCGCTGGAATTGAATAAAAAGAGGTTTAAACAATCGTCAGGATCTGGTGGTTGCGGGAGTGGATAAGGACAAACACTTTCATTTTGAATTGTTACATTAACAGTATAGACCAATCTTGAACCAGCCAGTAACTGTATACCAGTAGTAATCTCCCTGTAATCAACAGACTGAGATCGAACAAATGAAGTATTCATTGGTATATAACTGAATGGACTCAATACTGTTGTACTAGTACTGGTTTCATCACAGGGAAAGGTGTGAACTGATAGAGGTGTGGTCAAGTTAGTTATTAATTCAATTTCTGTGGGATTGGTCACGTTTATAAAGTACTTATAGCTGGGTTGAGTTAGTATCAGTGGGTGGGGTGAAGTGGAGGAGGACTGGGGCTGAATAAAGAAAGTTACTGAATAAGAAACGAGAGCTGTTACTAGCAAAATAGCGGAAACAAACCCGAAAATAAAACCTGCAAAATAAACAACAACAACAATAATAACAATAACAATAATAATAATAATACTAATAACAATAGTAATTAACATCTTGCCAATGAAAAGAAGAGATTATTACTGCACTAAACACTGCAGCTCTTTATCTCAAAATAGTAATATACACTTACCTAGTATTATCTTTCTCTTATGCTCTAATAATAATAAAAATAAAAATAATAATAACAATAATAATAATGACAATAACAATAACAATAAAGAAATATACACTCACTTTTAACGTCTTTCTTGATGTCCTCATCTTCTTTTCTTATTATTACATCAGGAGGTTTTCTTCCTAAATAATAATAACAACAACAACAACAATAACAATAATAACAATAACAATAATAATAATAACAATAACAATAATAATAATAACAATAACAATAACAATAATAATAATAATCATAAATAATAGTAAACTAAATGCATTTAACATACCTCTCCATCTATTTCTTGTCACTGCAGCAACACATAAAGAAAGAGAGAGAGGGGGGGAGGGGGAGGGGGAGGGAGAGAGAGAGAGGGAGAGAGAGAGAGAGGGAGAGAGAGAGAGAGGGAGAGAGAGAGAGAGGGAGAGGAGGTTAGTTATTATTAAGTTACTACCAAATATGGTAAGCTCATTCTCTACTATACTAACTGACAGCCAATAGCAAAGGATGTTTACTAATTCCTAAAACAGTACAACATCACCAGATACTAATAATGATAATCATGATAATTTTACACAATAATACTACTCACTATACCATCAAGTACTTATTCTTGTCAACTGATATCTAAATATTATTATAATTACGTGTAAGTGTAATTTGAGCTTTTAGCACATTCAAACAGTTAGACAGAGCAATAGGGTAAGTGTTTACGAGAGGAATCAGTACAAGTGGCAACCAGCAGACAAAATAATAGCAGTAAAAACAAGCTCAAAATGATGTTAAGTTACTCAGTATGGGTATTATTATTTCTAGTCAATGATTGTCACATTGTTGTTCACAGGTTGAGCTAGTACCAGCTCCACCAAACACAAGAACACATTAAAGTGTAACATTATGAACCACTTGCCAAATAATATCTGGCAATAATTAACACTAGCAATAGCTATGGTACGTCTAATATTAATAATAATAATAATTATTATTATTATCATTATTAGTACTTACATGTGTTTGAGTTGTTAGAGTAATTCTCAATGATGGCTAGTTGATCTGGAGTGACGATTTCTCTCTGAAACATCATCATAACGAGATCAGTTATAGTATTAACGGTCTCGGGTGCTACTCCTAGATGATTCTCAATCAGATCATTGATCGCATCAAGTCTCGCTGATTCCTTCAAGTTGTAGAGTAACTCTACAGCTCTTAGTCTGCAGTCGACCCAAGGAAACTCATCTCTCATGCTAAACCGCCTCTTTCCATGATCCTGTAGAGAAGAATAGAGACTAGACTCGCAGGAGAATCGAGAGAGAACATGACAAGTAAAGGAGACTGCTCGTGAAGGATTGTTACGGAATGACTCATGATTGAAAAGTCCATCAAATAATTGGAAGAAGGTTAGTTCTCCGGCTCCTGATCCTATTCCAAACTCTAGCAGAGACAGTTTGAACAGTCGGACATAAGTGGAATCTATTTTACTGCTCAGAACAAGAACAGTTTCTTTGATATCAGTCTCGCTGCTTCGAGCCATCATTAGCTAGCTCCTGTGAAAGTAGGCGTGGCTGATAAGGGCGGGGCTTGTAGCTTAAAACAATAAATTAAAAATACTCATCATTATTGGCTAAAATTAAATTATATTTATTAGTATTATTATTTTATATTAAAGATTTTCCATTATAGCTAAAAGTCCAATAAGTACATCATTCTCTTCCATTTCAGTAACAGCTTCTTTGATTTCCCTCCACATATCAGGATTCCCTTTATCCTTCTTGTCCATCCATTCTCTTAATACACTACCCAGACACGTTAGGTCATCTCCTCCTTCTCCTCCAGCTGCTGGTCTGCTCACGTCTAATTGATCGGCAAGACCCGCCCACCGAGACCTCATCGGCTTTAGTACCTTTAATAACTGAGGCAATGTAGGAGCAGGTACACCTAATAATAATAACAATAATAATAATAATAAAATACACTTTTAAAAGCATGTAAAAAATCTAAATTTGATCGGAATCAGCTCAAACTTTTTACACAACATAAGTACATGTATATGTATCAGGAAATGTAATAAAAATGACAAATTCTCTACTTTTCATTTTTGGCAAAATTTGGTCCGAGACCATGTACTATAGTACAGGGACTTTGACCCGATTTTTGAGAAACTTTTAAAAGTCGTAAAAATTCCAAATTTGATCGGAATCAGCCCAAACTTTCTACACAACATAAGTACATGTATATGCATCAGGAAATGTAATAAAAATGACAAATTCTCTACTTTTCATTTTTGGCAAAATTTGGCCCGAGACCATGTACTATAGTACAGGGACTTTGGTCCAATTTTTGAGAAACTTTAAAAGCTTGTAAAAAATCTAAATTTAATCGGAACCAGCTCAAACTTTCTACGCAACATAAGTACATGTATATATATTAGGAAGTATAATAAAAACTGTGAATTCTCAACTTTTCAATTTTGGCAAAATTTGGCCGGAGACCTTGTACTATAGTACAGGGACTTTGGCCCAATTTTTAAAAGCTGAAAAAAA